TTAGAAAAAGAACCAAACGTTCATATATTTTAAAGCATTTCTTTTGAAGTGTTTTGGTTTGTTTTTTGATCATTGATTATATCGGAGTTAAAGAACTTCAGTTGTAGAAAATGACTCAGTATTACTCGTCCCAGTATTATTTCACATTAATAAAGTCAACAGTCGCTTGTGACTCTTCCTATCGGAAGAAAAAGGCAAGGCTGCTAAGAGACAGAGCTGAGAAACACCTTTGGAAAACAAATCATGTGTTCTTTCTAAAATAAATACATTTATACATAGTCTGGTAGTAAGGCAACCTGATAAAGGACAGTGCTGAAATTTTACTCAGAGACAAATCTGATAAGCAATCACAGCCTTACGACAAAATAGTCAATGATCCATCACATGATAACTAACGTTAGTATTAAATTCTTCATGTAAGAAGAATTCTTCATTCTGCGATACAAGGCAAAATCCAGAACACAGTGCCCATGTTACGTGCGTGCCAAAGTCCAAGGTCTTACTTCATTCATTTGACCTACATTACTTCATCTGTTCATTCATCAGATGTTTACTAAGTACCTGTTCTATATCAGGTCATGTGGCTAGGCAGCTGAAATAGAGTGGTAAATAAAGTGAATAATTTCCAGCAACAGCCAGCAAATGAGCATACAAACTGATTACATTTAGCTTATTACATGTTAACTGCTGTACTTCGATGAAAGTCCATGCAAAAAACAGAGGTTGGGAAGTTGGCAGAGTATTTGTTTTGGGGGGTAAGAATAACTTTATGAATGTCAAACCCAGTGGTTTTCAACCTTGGCTTAAAAAACCAAAAAAAGTCTCCAGATGTTCCTGGGTCCCAGTGTCACTCTCTCTTATTCGTTACCCCATCTCCCCACTTGTGTACGGTCTGGGATAGGGCCCAGCAGCACATTTCTTTCCCTAAAAGCTCCCAGGTGCCTCTGACCTGCAGCCAGGGTTGAGTACCTGTTTCAGCCAGTCATTATTTTCAAGGTACAAATACAGCTTAAGGCTTCTGTGATCATCAGAACTTTACTGCTGACTTCTTTCCTTCTCCTGAAATCCTAATTTGCTCCTTCCTCATTCAATTCTCCCTACCTAGAGGGCACACCTCCCAGGCTGGTGAGGGATGGACTCCTGGGACAGAAGTTAGACTCTGGGGAGGATCCTGGACATAACAGCTGTGTAGAGGATAGAGAGGCATCAGCAGGCAAAGGGACTGAAGAGGAACAGTGTGCAAAGGAGGGGACAGGAAGTGCGGTAGGAGAGATCCTGGAGGCTGCAACGGGG